CTCTGTCCTGGATGTATAATGAAACATAGCCGCAGTGCCAAAGAACCTAAAACGGTCATTAAAATTAGAGAAAGGCGTACTTTCCTATTTAAGAGGTTCCAGCAATGCCTACTCCCAGTGATTTAAAAAGAGAGATTTAATTTCAGGGATCTTGCTGAAAGAAATTTCTCCAATTCTCTTTTTCTCTTTGTTTTGGACAACAAACTGCCCTTTTACGCAATATTTAAGCAATTTTAAAGCTTGTAATGAAAATCGCTGAAGAAATTGAGGCATAGCCTGAGCAAAGGATTTCAGCATTGAGCTGCTGGTAAATAGCTTGCAGCCACAATGCTACCCGTGTTGGCATTGCAAAGTTGAATTTTTTCTTAGTATTATATAGAAAGGTGTTGGTGTAGTTAAAAAACAGTGCCAGTAAAACAAAATGCTAGCAAACATTAAGGGATATTTTCCTGCTGTGTTCCAAATACTTATTCTAGACATACTGAAAAACAGTGGAGCTTACTTTGGTCTCATTTCTAGTGCATTAGAATTGTTCATCAGTTGTGTTCCTGAGTCAAGGGTTTATAAATGTACAACTTGGCATATATATATTGATTTAAGATTTTGTAGAACATACGATCACATTGACTATTAATTCTTTGAAAATACTTTGCTATTTGCATGTTCGAAATTGTACTAAATTGTTTACCTGGAGTGATTATTTTCAGGGTAAACTGTCAGAAAGCATTTAAATACCACTAATTTTAATAAGAAATAAGCATTCTGGCATGTGAATAAATGAACCAACAGCTATGTACTAGCTTTCTGATTTTCAGTGTGACAATATAGTTTAAAACCTTACTATTTTCAGCATGGAAATCAGAATCTATTCTGCTAACCTTCTGAGCTTCTAAATTTGGTGTCATGCATAGGCGTGTTTAAAAATTAGCATTTAAAAAGAAACCTACTTGCTTTAAGTTTAAGCTGACACTGTTCCTTTCCTCTGTGGAAATGAAATTTATTAATCATAATAAAACCATCATATTCTGAAGGTAGAGGTCACCCTGAGGAGAAAAAAGTCTATTCATCACGGAGGAATTTCAATGCATTTTTCCCAGATAATATCTGAGCACGGATTCTCTCCCCTTTGGAAATATATTCTTCCAGGGTTGTGCTTATGTGCATCAAGTGTATGGAGGAGGTTGCAGGAATGAGAATTTTTCAATTTAGTTTTCTCTACTTTATTTTCTTTTAGAGACAATTTGGAGGAGTGCTTCTTTACATTTTGTTTCATGTTTACCTTGCAAACATTTATTCAAGTAGAATTCCAACATACTGCTTAAAAAACAAACAAACAAACAAAAAGGATAGGTCACCATTTTTACATTAGGATTATTTCACCTCTCTTTTGTTTAAAGGAAAAAGCATTGTTTACACAGAAGAACAAAAAACACTGAGTTGGAACTATCATCTATCTTTGGAAATAGCTTAAAATATTTATTTATCCATATTTTCCTCTCAGTTGCCCAGATTTCTGTAGAAGATCATTGTAATACTAATAGCAACATTCCACCATTAAACACTTGTTCATCATTTCAGTGATGAGTTAGCTTAAATATACACCTAATTTAATAAAACTTCAGCACTCTTTGGTCTTGTTCCTTCCTACTTACAAGAGGGCCTTGAGTTTCAGCCACTTAATTCCTTGCTGTGCTTGACTCAGTGTGGTCTTGGTTTTTGGTTTTGTAAGGCAATATTATATATTCTGCAGCAAGAATGAAGGATGTAGTATGGAGTCAAAAGGCAGCCCTGCTGGACCGCATGGATCAGAGAAGTGAAAAAAAGCTCACAGTAAGTCCCAGTGTAGTTGACAGCTTCCACTACAACATGGTTCTTCCAGGTCTAAATTTAAATAAACAGTTCTTACTCAGTCTTATGACAATAAAAGTTAATCAGGAAAAAATAAATAAAAAAAAAAAGTACTTTAAAACTATACCAATTCCCATTGTTCTAAAAATAATAATCATGATTTTAAAGCATGTATAATAATAATATATGCAATTCATCCTCTATGTTACTAGGGATATTAAGGAAATGTGTAGATCTGGAAATGAGTCTAGCTTTAAATTAATTGTTTTCCCTTTCTAGATGTTTGCTTATTGTTCAAATGACATCTGGTTTGAGGAAATTAAAAATATAATTATTTTTAAATCAATTCTCAGACTTGAAAAATAAACATACAAAGGAAAATAAGGAGTCTTTTTCACCTCATGAACTTGAACAAGAAATATGACATTCTATTATGTCTTCTATCAAAGCTAATTTTTTTTTAATCTCCAACTATTATAGTGCTTACATCCCAATTTGGAGAGAAACATTGCAAAGCTGCTAGTTCTTCCATCCAAGGAGGCTGCAGAGTTTGTGACCAGTGCCAAACCTGCACTAAGAACTCTTTCTAACTCAAAGGATTACTAAGTGATGCTTACCCAGCAGGCCGATCAGAACTATTCTTCCTCTCCTTCATCTCCTTCCTCCCCTTCCTCTTCTTCTCTCACCCTTTCTTTCTTTCATTAACAACTGCCTGGTTATTTTGGTGTTCGTTGCCTCAGACAAATTTCAAATATTCATGGATACCAACTGTTTAAATGGAATTACATTATAAATTTAATCTTTCACTGCCCAATATAATGGATGTAAAAGAGGAAATAGTTGTATTTTATGCAAGTCTTTTACACATAATTCCCTGAGGTCAAGATCCTAAGATAGAAGATGACTGGACAACATTCTGATTCCTCTGGTTATTTGTGTATATTTATGCACAGATAAACATAGCTTTGGTGAGAATTAGAACCCCTATTCATGAACTTTTAGTTCAAAACTTTGGTAAATTAATTCCTTTTCAATGTATTATCCCTTAATAGAAAGTTAAATGTACTGAGTAAACATGATAATACAATTGGAGACATTTCAGCCAACATCCAAATTTTGCCACAGAATGTCCTAGAACTCTTTATTGTGAAAAATAAGCTGCACTTAGCCTTTGCTCAAAACTTGCACTAAAAATAATAATCTGTCCTTGAAATTTAACACAGTATGTATCCTTTAAACTTATAAAGATTTAAGGATAGTAATTGCCACAAAATATTTTTACATTTTTTTATTAATGTAAAATGACACAGAAACATTTCAGTAAGTTTGGGATAAAGGAAAGGAGAGGAATGGCTCATTTTATCTCTGGACAACCAGACCATGATTACCAAGGTCCATACATGCCTGCTTTTCAGAATGACCAAATGTGGAGAACTGCAGGGGCTGCAGGTGTTTGGAATCTCTAAGAATTAAGCCCAATCATCTTAATGTGAAAACTTGACCCTCAAAATTAGTCAGCATTTTGAAAAAAGGAGTCAAACATCAATTTGGGAAAGTGCTGATCCTTCTTACCAAACAGTGAAAAATGCAAGAGGAATAGAGCTCAACTCCATACAATACTCATAGATTTTAAAGGACTACAGTGGTAGCATTGTAGTGTTGCTGGAAAAAGGGGCCTGCTTAGAACTGGTCCCCTGCCAACCACTGTACATACACTTCAGAGATTGTATTTACTAAGCTTTATTCTACTTTTGTTTGTTTGTTTGTTCTTTCATCCGGATGTGTGGTTACATAGCTTTGGAAAGGAAAAACATGTCACCTGTAAATCTGTGACTCTGATGTTGATCAGGTAGTAAGAGGCATTTATGTGAAATATCTGCCTTTTTGGGGTTGAACCTCTTTAACATAGCCTAGTTGTCCTAAGAGATGGTTTACCTAGGATTTCCTTGCAAAGTTAATCCCTCATGCTCTTGTAAATGTTGGCTCAGTGAATGGAGAATAAAGACTGTTTTGTCTGCGGAAGTTTATGCTTTTTCCTTGAGGATGTCCAAAGGTAGGTAGGAATGCTTAATTCTGTTAGTTTGGACTTTATTCTCTGCCTCGTGTCCAGGACTCACAGAAGTGGGTGGTGTAAGATTGCATGCATTTGCCATGCAACCATTTCTTTCTCAGTTATCCCTCAGCTGATTATATGGGAACTTAATCAGATTCCACTTGTGAAGTATCAATTCCGTTATATAAAATAGGGCAAGTGTCCTCTTTTCATAAAACAAAAAAAAAAACAAAATAAAAACCTAAGTTCGCATTTTTGCATTTGTATCTGAAAAATAAGATGGCTATACAGAATGAGACAGAATGGGGTTACTGTTCACATAAGGCTGAAAGCAACATCTCTCAGGGAGAGATCAATAATATTATTAAAACTTAATTTGCTTACTATACTAGATCTTCTGTGAAAGACACCACTATAGTTTCAAGTTTGTTTTTGATTTTATATGTGAAACTTGAGATCAAATGGAAATTATTTGATAGCAGAAAAATACTAGGCATTCAAGGAAACGTGTAGTTGATGTCTCTATCTCACTAATGGTAACTATATTCAGACTTGGACTTTTAAACGAAGCCATATATCTCAAGGTGAAGAGGAAGGCAGGGCCAGCAAATTGCTCAGGTGTACATGTAAAGGAGCTTTGAAATGGTTCTTGCAGTATGATTTTGTACAAGGAAAAATTACAAAAAAAATCTAACTTTTATGTCACTGTCTTAGCTTGGTTGTAGGAGGAATTTGGCTGAAAATTCAGGCTTCAGTTGTGCATGTATCATGGCTTAGGATGACGCTGTCTCTTCTTTAGGAAGAGTGAAAATACACAATAAGTCTGTTCTGTAAAACATATTGCCTCCTACTGTTCTACAAGCCACCCTCCTTAGCCTGCTGCTGATTCTTAATGATCTAGTAAACCTAATTATGCGTTTATTGTCATTCATAGCTTTAACATTTCCCAAAGAATAGTTTCTTTTGAAACTGCAAAGTGAGTTTATTTCTAATGAATTTGAGTAGAATGGAATATTTCATTACAACCATTCTGTTAACATTGATAATAGCTGGTTATAATACCTTTTCTCCATTAATCTTCAACTTTTTTTCTTTGCAG